TATGTTCTGATAGCAGGCGCTTCATATTACGTGACGAAACTATTTTTGTTTTTGTTTATTTTTCGTTAAAATTTATACCCACAGTAATTGTAAATATTTAGTATAATATAGATAGGAATTTTTCGTGTTAGCGTAGCGCAGAAGCCGTTTGAAACTATCTTATAGTTCAAAGTGTGAACAAAAGAAAAGCAGTGTGCAATTATTACAAAATTTTAGAAAAATGTTTGATATTGTAACGTCCATCATTGTCGTATTTATAATCGTTATAAATAACATAGAACAAAAAGCTAACACAGCACAGCCGATAACTGAACTGAACTAACCGCGTGTAGTTACAATGTATTATTTGAAACTGTTATAATATATTATAACACTTTAAAGCAACAGTTAGAAAAATATATTACAGCATCTTAACGAATTAGGAAAATATAACAGTTTCGCTCACCTTACCTTACCTGGCAAATGACAGTATGGACTATCTACAGCACGCACACAACAACACTTGCTAAATCGGGAAGATCGGGCCGAGTCGGGAACGCCCACCGCCGCGCTCCGCAATCACTTTTGCTTGAGACTTTGTTGACTTTTAATAAAATTTTGCTAGCAGATTTTTTCGTTTTATTTTCTATTTTTGTAATATAAATTCATTTAATATGTGTTTGTTTAAGTAAGTTAGCTTTTTAATAATAGGTTATATTACCATATCTATACATACCTCATAAGTACATTAATTATCATATCACATCAGATTAAATTACTTAATTTTAAACATCAAATCTGAGCTGACACCATATGCTCAGTGTTAATTTACTCGTTTTTAGTTCTTTGGCATTTGTTGTAATTAACTGGCTTTTTATCGACAAACATTGATTCTTTGAGAGGAAACTAAAGAAATTATTAATAAATATGATGCATAGACACGTGTATCCATATCTATGATTTTTGTAATTATTATAACTACTAAATGAGACAGCTAATGTTAAACAAAAAAACAGTGACAACCCTGCAACAGTAGGCATTTAAGTCTCGCGCGGCGTAGGAGTAATCCTACTATTCTGTTTTTACTATGACTAAACTGAGAGCCCATTTAGAGTTGCTTTGTGAAGCAACGAAACGGACCCGTGCGAATCGCTAACGGTTGTTGCGTCACAAGACACGATTGCAATGTGATTCATATTGCTTCAATATGGAAATATAGCAAACAAGAAATATGGCCTAGCAATTTTAATACAAATTTCAAAAAATATTGTTATATTTGACATTTATTATAAAAATGTAGTTGTGTAAAATATTCCTCATGATAATAAAACCAGTTATTATAAGAAAAAAAAATTATTTATAAAAAAATATTTGGTATATTTCAATGCAAATGGCTTACTTTCAAATAATGTTATGAATAGTAGCACATTGAGATGGGGCAGTTCGATGAAAATCTATTTTTTTTATTTAGAGAATGTGCTCAAAAGAATCTTGTCATCAGTTTTTCATCAAAAACTGCAATAAAATATTTTAGAAATTTCCATCTTATTTTACTCAAAAAGTTAACCAAATAAGTAACAGTCTGTATTGTGGAATTATTGTTAGTCACTATTATTATTATTACTACCATCATGATAATCATCACAGCCCTTCACAAATCCACTGCTGAACATAGGCCTCCCCAAGGAAATGCCACAAAACATGGTCGTCAGCCACCTGCATCCATTGACTTCCTGCATGTTTTATCAGGTCGCCACTCCATCTAGTGGAGGGCCACCCCATACTTTACATACTGTACTGGCGATGTAAGAATATCCACTACCCCATATCTTTCCGTGGGTGTCATAAGAGATGACAGATAAAATAATGATGCAAGAGATGGGCAGCAGCATGTGTCTGATAACAGCAAAATAACAATTGAAAAGAAAAACTGCAATTGCAAACACACATGCCAAGGGTGGCAACTATGGCAATATATCCCTTTTATTTTAAATATACCATTAATAAGATTCAAAGGTAGCAAAGAAATATTAACAACAAATAAAGGAAATGTATATCATATATGATCTCTCAAGAATCTTGTTGATACTGAATAAATACTCAATATTTTTTCATTAAATCCAATTAATGAAAAAAAATTGAATGGGAGCAGTGAACAAAAAGATTTAAAAAAAGCTTAAAGATTATAAATATTTAAATATATCCATTTTTTGTTAATGTGATTAATAATCATCACATAAAATATCTGAAAACAATTGACGGACCCAACTCAAATCAACAACATCCTTCTTCTTAACTAACTAACTAACTCTAACTTCTTTTCACATATTCTTTAAAACTTAAAATCAAGCATGTACTACTAGTGTGTGTTGCTAGTAAACCACTATACCAGTATATTTAAGATGTGGTCCTACACTGCTGGCCGAACAAAGAAGCTTAAGATCCCACTGAGCTAGCTATGATGATCCCACTCAGAGAGAGCTATGCTGAGTTTCTCACCTAGCCTTACAGATCAGTAAGCAATGGGCTGGCCAAATAGCTTGAAAAATAGACAACCGATGGGGACAAATGGCTCTAGAATAAGTCTTGTTCCTGTTAGCGATGGTGACTCTCAATTATAGAGAGTGACGTAAACATATTGCAGCACATTATAACAGGTAAACTATATTATAACAGGAGAAACTATATTATAATATTATAACAGGAGGATAATGCAGGTGGCTCAAGACCATTTCTTGGCATTCTTTGGAGAAGACCTACTTATAGCAGTGAAATTGTGAAGGGATTTAATGATGATGATCATAATAGAGTTTTAACAGAATTAACTGAGTCTGGGCGAGCTGGATATACATGTCATGGCTCAGACGCGTGTTTCATGGCATTCCTTTCATTCCTTGGGGAAGGCGTATTTTCATCAGTGAACTGAATTCAGCAGCAAAATAATTATGATGGAAGTAAGGTTTATATGTGGTCGAGCTATGCTACAGCTATATTATGGTTGTAACACAAATGGGTTGGCAAGACCGGGGTAGGAACATGCTTTTACAGAATACCAGCGTAAAATAGCAGCTTGACGCTGCTCTTTCCTATTGTGAGTGTAGAGAACCGGAGACCCTTTTTACTGGTAATGAGGTATTCCATTACAGTCACCAAGGGTGACAATGCATCTGCATTTTGACTCTTAATTGAGGGTAACTGTAGATGTCTATAGGCCACAGCATCCAATTGCCATCAGGTGAACAGTGCGCTCGTTTGTTTCGCTTATTCTATAAAAAAAGTAACAATAGCCTCCAAGCATCCCACAGCTGGGTCTTTGCTGTTTTATCACTTATAGGCCAAATTTGAATCAAGATCTGACCTCATATTACATGGTGAGCGAATAGCTCACGTTTGCGCTTGCCTTTGAGTCTTAAATTTTATTAATCAATAGTAATATGATTAAAAAAATTAAAGCTTACAGTACAATGGTAGTACAACAATAGCCACATACCATCAGCTAGACAGCTGTTGGTATGTGGCTATTGTTGCCCACTAAAACTTGCAACCAGCTTCATACAAAGAATGCCAAGTGACAGGCTGAAGACTTTTTTTTATAGGATAGGATGACAAACAAGTACACAGTCCACCTGATGGTAAATGGTTGGAGTGGCCCATAGACATCTACATTTATCCTCAATTATAAATCAAAATGCAGATGCGTTGTCATCCATGAGGACTTAGGTGGAATGCCTTATTTCCAGTAAAAGGGTCTCTTGGATATAATGCCTCCACAGTCTGTGATTTAATGGCTCTATCATCTCTCTATATTCAGAATGGAACACAGAAGTGCAAATGCTGCATAGTAGCAGAAATATTATTTACACATGTACAATAAATTTTTCCCTACTTTTCACTAAAGCTGTAACAAAATGAAGAAAACTGACCTTTTTTAACCTATAAGTTTACTGTCGGGTGTGGGTCTTTTCTATTGTATAAATGATTAACCTGACTTGCCACTTGCAAATTGGTTGATGGTTCCCTTCCTGTTTGTTGGTTTTGTGACTGGTGTAAATGAGTACAGAATATTGCCATTTATTAGAAGGCATAAAGACTTGCATGCACTCCCAATTGCCTCTTACAACACCAAACCAAAAAATATTTATAACAGTCCACCTATGATGATAAGAGGCTATTGCACTCTATGAAAATCTATGGGCATCTTGAAAAATAGAAGGCCCACAGCCTATAATTATACTGGCTCTGTATACCTTCATCCTGGAACACAGCAGTGCAAATACTGCTATTTGGTGACAGAAGTTCAAAAGAGTGTGGAACCCAACCAGAAGGATTCCTAGGCATAATAGGACTCCAACCACCTTGTAAATATTAATTTAATGTATTGTTGTATATACATATTATAATCTTATTGCAAATAAACAATAGATTGAATAAATAGTTTTTCATTTGCCATAAAAGTGAAGAAGATAGAGCAGTCTTACAAATATTTCAACATTTGGGTACTTCACCTTATCTAATTGGAGTGATAACAGAAACAGTCACAAAATTGTCAGTTAACAGAAGTATGATAAAGGTACACTTTTTTTTGTACAGAACTCATAATGTATATTATCAATGAGGAATCATTCCTCTACTAAAGATTCTGCACAGATTATAGAAATGATAAATTCTTATATGTAAATTTAGAATGATAAGGTAATATTGAATATAACTTGTGTGTGATTTACTTTTGCATACTTTTGCATGAAGTAAGTAATAAATTAGTAACCAGTAGCTTTGAGTGAGTGATAACAAGTTACATGTAGGACCTATTTAGGTGGTACCTAACAACATTAACGTTCAATTGCGTTTTATAGGCTTATATTTAAATGTTTTATTGGTTTTGTATGACACGTAGTTATGTTACTTTGAGATTTTGATGAAAAAAAAATCTTTAGCCGTTACAAAAAAAAATTGTACGGTAATAAAACTCACCTCACTGAAGGCCATCACTCCCGCCGGAGCTTAGTCCCAATCCAAACTTTTCAATTAACTTTATCACGGTCTATCAAAACAAACAGTTCACGCTTTTGTTTTGCAACATTGAAAACAGTCCCGACATCTAACATCCCCACGACACAAATACATCTGAACTCAGGAACTTCACTCACTGCGCAAGAACCAAATTATAAAACGAAAACACCTGACCGAATCACAAATCACTGAAAAAATCAACATTCCTCAGGTGGGATAAGTGCACATCTGAATCAAATTACAATGTTAGTCATATATAAAATATTTGCAGCATTTTACATAAAATTTTATATTTCTACAATTTGCAACCATTAAAAAAAACAATGATAGAAAAATCTCATCAAACGTACGATGAAGTGACACAGAACAAACCAATAAACGGAGATGAACTCGCCATCTTGCTTTCATGTCATGTCATAACCAGAAGTAGCAACATTCAAATTTTATTCTCTGCTGTCATGGTGTCAACTCAAGTCAACTTTAGTCAAGGTAGGCAATATCACAGAAATAAAATGAAGTAGCTTAAAGTCGGCCACACAGTCAGGTTCCGTTTTGTCCCGTTCTGTAAATATAATAAGATAGAAATGAAAATTCATAACGCAATACAAAAAAACATAGTTTTTTTTATAAAAGGATTGTTACATAGCAGGTATCACTTTTATAGAGTTGCTAGTATAGTAAAAAATTAATTAAATTTTATACTAATTTATTCGCAAGTAAAAACACATCATCACAAAATAAGATGTTCTATTACTATCGGCAGATAATAATTTTAAATATTGTTTTGCGTTTCCGGATAGATTAATAGTGATAATTTAAACATATTTAATATCATAAAAATATAACAAGTGCCTACGGTGTGACAAAATTTGATTGTTGATAATAAAACATAAATTTAAAATAAAGTAAAGCTACATCCTATATAGGTCCCACTGCTGGGCATCAGCCCTCATCTCATTTCTGAGAGAGTTTTAATTTAAGGAATTGTCCGTCGCGCTGCTCCAATGCGTGTTGGTGGACTTCACACGTTTTTGAAAAATTCTTGTTTGTTCCACAGAACTGCAGGTTTCTTCACGATGTTGTCCTTTACCGCCGAGCACGTGGTACATAAGCACTTAAGATTACAATTAACAATTTCATTGGTGCCGGTGGGAATCGAACCCAAGTTGCCAGCGTACAGATGTTAAAATTTACACCGAACGCTAAGCCCCTGTATAATAAACAGAGATCGGAATTGGGTGTGTGAAAATACATAAAGTTTGCAGCGGGATATAACATGGAGCTGTACAACCACAAAAACCGTTTTAAAGTTGAACGTTAGTTTTTTGAATTTTACATTTGAAACACCGAACTATAAGCATTTGCGAGCTGCTAATACAGCCTAGTATTGCCTGAGCAGTTAAGCATATCAGTGTGCCGATGAGGGCCCTAGCCTTTGCGATAAGTTCTTCAATTCTTATTCTACAGGCTGGCATAGCACTACTTTGTCTAGTAGCGCGTCCAGTCGTGGAAAGTTTGGCGCCTATAATACGGCAGACTGCCAGTGCGGCGCCAAAAAGAATTGAGTCCGTCTCGCAAAGGTCCCACCTAGCTTCCATATAGGTAACCAGCATTGGGTTCAGAGCCCTCACGACAGCCCGATTCCGCTTGTTTAGGGCTATGAGGGGAAGTCGCGGTCGATTTTCGAGAGGCGTATTGCGCGTTTCGACAATCGCCTCTTCCGATGTACTCCTCATTTGCTCTAGTTCCAGTTCCTGGGCGACTGTTCCATCATCGCTTGAATCAACCACAACTGGGGTATTCACGGCGGCATCCACGTTTGCCATTTGCTCAGCAAGTTGTGGCGCCGCATCCTCAGCCGCAGCATTTTCACCCGATGAAGGAACAGCCTCACGTCGTAGCCGTTCGAGTTCGGTAACATCAAATGTATTTGAGCGCAAGATAAACTGAACTCGGTCTGCCAGGTTTTGCTCGGTGACGGTTACAGATGGCTCCAGCTCAGCAAAAAGTCGATGCATCCTTGCCCGATACGCAAAACCTCCAGTTTCTCCCCCTTTCGCCCTAAAATACGCCCGCAATGCGTTGCTTTTCATCGGGGTTGTTCAACGCATGCGGCGTACTCCTCTAGTGGCGGTAACCGATTGCTGGGCCCGCGAAGACCCTGCCGACACCAAACCAGCTGGTGGGGATGATGGATGCGAGGGGCTGCTGGGTGGTCGTGCAGCATCTCGCGCTCGGCTGGCGGTTCGCATGCTGTCGCGTCTAGCGCCAGCTCCAGACGCGCCCTGGCGACCTGCAGGCAGCGGCCCTTTGCGCGTTCTATTTAATTCCATCATCCATTTTTGAGGGCGTCATTTAGCGGGAGATGCCCAGACCCGGCGCCGTTTCATGGTGAGGCCATGTGCACAAGCGGGCCTTTGCACCTTAAATTTTTGTCACTAACACCTCTTGGCAAGGTGCTGACTGACTGCGCTGACGTAGCGGTTTTGTCACATAACCGTTACGTCAGCGGGCGATTGGATCGTCACTTCCCTACGCCTCGTTATTATTATTATTGTTATTATTATATTATTTATCTATTAAAAGGTATACCACTTCCAAGATAAGATTTAAGCCCACTTTCCACTATGGTATATAATATAATTTATATTACATCTCGAGATATGAATTAATATCGCTCACCGTACTTTTAAATGGAACCGTTTCCACTGAGATGTAATATATATATTACATCCCAAACTCTAACTATTTTTCGATCGACCGAGCGATATTTTCAAATTATATTTCACCTCCTGTACCCCGCACACACTTCCGTGCCTCCGCTACGTCCTCAGATCGTCCAATAACGAACGCACACTGGTTAAAAGATATATCTCACAGTGTGAAGGGCAATCGCGTGATATAATTTATATCTAGGGATATAATGTATATTATATCCCATAGTGGAAAGCCAGCTTTCTCTTACATCATTCTTTTACAAAACAAGTTAGAAGCATTTTAACAGCAGAATTTACAAAATAAATTCAGAAATAATTATAACAACATGATCGCTATCACAATTTTCGCCGTATCGTTTAAATCATAGAATACAATAATACATACATAATAGAACGGAGGAGTGGGCGGAGCCCGTGTAGCCACTAAAATGTCACTAACACGTCAATACATACGTATAAATGTCAACACGAGATGTGCTTTGACGTTAAAATTTTTTCTAAATTTCCCATGCAAATTATTTAGAAAATGCCAAATTGCACGCTATTTACAAATAAGTATGTATTAAAATCTGTCTGTAAACACAGCGAATCGGGTTTTTTTAGTAGTGATAATACGACGTTATTGCTTGTACGTGTGCTCCCGGCGACGCCTATTGTCGTACAAAATAAGGTTGACAGCCATTCTATTGTGTATTATACTGTTCTATTGTTTAAGTGATTAATGACGTTACCATCAGTGTTGTTATCTAAATACTCCTAATTTCTTATTTTCGTAACGCTAGCTTTCGACTAAATTATATTTACGACATAAGAAATAATATATTAATACGAAATGCCGGAGAAAAAAAAATACAATTGTGTTTGTTGTAATTTTATAAGCAGTAATTTAGAATTGTAGTTCCCGGATGACCGAGCTTTACTCGGTTTTTTTTAAATTACATTTATATACAAATTACATACTGATGAAACATAAATAATATTTTTTGATCTTATTGACATAATAGAAAAAACTGAACTGGTTATTTGAATAAAAAATCGTGAGTCCAATTAGTTTACTTAAAATTTTCTTTTTTTTTATACTAAAAAGGGCTCGAAATAATAGATTTTCTCACAAAAGAAGGGAACTTAAAAAAAAGGAAAAAAAACTGGACCGAAGACGGGACGCGAACCAAGGCATAACGATTTCGCGACCGCTCGATATCCACTTGAGCTATTACGATCATTAACACATTGTTAAAATTTACCTTGTTATATTGTAGCAGTTTTTAATTGCCTGAAAACACGGACAAAAAGACATTTTCTAAAAATAAATCCTGGCTAGATCGATTTATTGCCCCCGAAACTCTCTAGACACAAAATTTAAGAAAATTGTTGGGGCCGTTTCCGAGATTCCGATTATTATATATATATATATATATATTTGCTCTGAATTGCTCGTTTAAAGGTATAGGATATGAGCTACATCAGAACTCTATACCTTAAAAATATATTTTTTATGCTTGCAAAACAAAAAAATTATTTAAAACTGTATTAGCAGCTTGCACATGTTTATAGTTCGTTGTTGCAAAGGTAAGCAACTTGTAAAACAAAAAAACCGAAAATGAACCAGTAAAATTCAAAACCCGTTCAACTTAAGCGGTTGTACAGCTCCATGTTATGTCCCGCTGCAAACTTTATGTATTTTCACACACCCAATTCCGATCTCTGGTAATAAAACATATGGACTATTATTTCACGTACTTTATAGGTATGAAGTATCTACAGAAATAAAAACAAATTTGAAAACAAAGTTAATATAAACAAAAAATAAAATAACGCATATTAGAAATTACTTGTTTTAGATTTTTTGTTCTTGATTTTATTTACATTTCTATTTCTATTATTTTATATTTCTACTACCTTTCTCTCGTAACAAAATCTGGAAAAACACAAAATCAAGCCTGAATATAGAATGAAACCGGATGTTCTGTTTTTTATTTTCTTAACGGATAAAACCGATACGGATCAAAACGAGAACGTAAATGAACACCGTGTTTGTGTTGGAGTGCGTCCGTTTCTAATGGATTGCAAGCATAAAAATATATTTTTATGGTATAGAGTTCTGATGTAGCTCATATCCTATACCTTTAAACGAGCAATTCAGAGTAAATATATATAGTATGTTATTCAAGCAGGTTATTCACTGAGGCGTTATTGTAAAAACTAGTCTTTTTTAACTGATACGTTAGTAATAAATCTATTCAGTCTTATCAACACTATATCCTTTTTAAAAAGTTTATTATGTAGTCATAACCAGTATTTCAATTAAGCATTCGCCAAAGTACGCCTTCCGATCACTCTATCAGGTCCGGAGGTAAGATCTCATCATAACTAACAAAACGAACGGCCCCAACGATTTTCATAAAATTTAGTGTCCAGGGAATTTCGGGGGCAATAAATCGATCCAGCCGGGATTTATTTTTAGAAAATGTCTTTTTGTCCGTGTTTTCAGGCAATTAAAAACTGCTACAATATAAGAAGTTAAGTTTTGACACTGTGTTAATGATCGTAATAGCTCAAGTGGATATTGAGTGGTAGCGAAATCGTTATGCCATGTTTCGCATCCTGTCTTCGGTCCAGTTTTTTCCCTTTTTTTTCAAGTTCCCTTCTATTGTGAGAAAATCTATTATTTCGAGCCCTTTTTTTAGTATTTTTTAAAAATACGATAATTTTATATATAAATAAGATCAAAAAAAATTTTATATGTTTCATCAGTATGTAATTTGTATATAAATGTAATTTAAAAAAAAAAACGAGTAAAGCTCTGTCATCCGGGAACTACAATTCTAAATTACTGCTTATAAAATTACAACAAACACAATTGTATTTTTTTTCTCCGGCATTTCGTATTAATATATTATTTCTTATGTCGTAAATATAATTTAGTCGAAAGCTAGCGTTACGAAAATAAGAAATTAGGAGTATTTAGATAACAACACTGATGGTAACGTCATTAATCACTTAAACAATAGAACAGAATAATACACAATAGAATGGCTGTCAACCTTATTTTGTACGACAATAGGCGTCGCCGGGAGCACACATACAAGCAATAACGTCGTATTATCACTACTAAAAAAACCCGATTCGCTGTGTTTACAGACAGATTTTAATACATACTTATTTGTAAATAGCGTGCAATTTGGCATTTTCTAAATAATTTGCATGGGAAATTTGGAAACAATTTTAACGTCAAAACACATCTCGTGTTGACATTTATACGTATGAATTGACGTGTTAGTGACCTTTTAGTGGCTACACGGGCTCCGCCCACTCCTCCGTTCTATTATGTATGTATTATTGTATTCTATGATTTAAACGATACGGCGAAAATTGTGATAGCGATCATGTTGTTATAATTATTTCTGAATTTATTTTGTAACTTCTACTGTTAAAATGCTTCTAACTTGTTTTGTAAAAGAATGATGTAAGAGAAAGCTGGCTTTCCACTATGGGATATAATATACATTATATCCCGAGATATAAATTATATCACGCGATTGCCCTTCACACTGTGAGATATATCTTTTAACCAGTGTGCGTTCGTTATTGGACGATCTGAGGACGTAGCGGAGGCGCGGAAGTGTGTGCGGGGTACAGGAGGTGAAATATAATTTGAAAATATCGCTCGGTCGATCGAAAAATAGTTAGAGTTTGGGATGTAATATATATATATATATATATTACATCTCAGTGGAAACGGTTCCATTTAAAAGTACGGTGAGCGATATTAATTCATATCTCGAGATGTAATATAAATTATATTATATACCATAGTGGAAAGTGGGCTTAAATCTTATCTTGGAAGTGGTATACCTTTTAATAGATAAATAATATAATAATAACAATAATAATAATAACGAGGCGTAGGGAAGTGACGATCCAATCGCCCGCTGACGTAACGGTTATGTGACAAAACCGCTACGTCAGCGCAGTCAGTCAGCACCTTGCCAAGAGGTGTTAGTGACAAAAATTTAAGGTGCAAAGGCCCGCTTGTGCACATGGCCTCACCATGAAACGGCGCCGGGTCTGGGCATCTCCCGCTAAATGACGCCCAAAAATGGAGGTCAGTACTCTCAGTACTTTACTGGAGGGCTCCGGGAGGGGATTTTAGCTTCGGAAAGGAGGTACAAAAGTGACCAACCTTTTCTATATGGATGAACTCAAATTATTCGCCTCCAGTCGCTCCCATCTTATGGAATTGCTAAACATCACTTGTGAATTTAGCAATTTTATTAGAATGGAGCTGGGGACGGATAAGTGTGCGGTCCTCCATGTTGAAAGGGGAAGGGTTGCTAACTCTGTGGGCATATACTTATCTATGCCCGTCAACTTAAGGACCCTTTCCGAGACTGAAACATACCGATACCTGGGTATGTCACAGAACATCGGTATCGATGAGGCTGGTATGAAACAGTCAGTTTGCGACGTGTTTTATGCACGCTGCAAAGTGCTTAACAGCCTTTTGTCCCGTGTGAATGAGACACATGCATATAACGGTTAGGTCATGCCTGTCCTCATGTATACCTTTGGCATACTCAGGTGGAGTCAGACTGTACTTAATGCCCTGAATAGAAAAGTCCGCACTACAATGACGTCCCATAGGATGCATCATCTGAGATCGTCGGTAATGAGCCTGTACTTGCCGCGAACGCATGGTGGGCGTGGTTTTTTGAGCGCGCTCACCATGCATAATCGCGAAATGTGCAGCCTCCGTCATTACTTCCTGGCGAGATCGGATGATCCATTCTATAATGACGTCATTTCTAGTGATAAAGGACTTATCCCTCTATCCTTAGCCAACGAGCAATGGTAAGACCCGGCAGTACAGAGCATTTCCGACCGGGAGACCGTATGGAAGGAGAAGGAGCTCCACGGGAGGTACTACAGGGCTCTACATGAGCCCCACGTAGATACAGCCGCCTCCCTCAACTGGCTACGTTTCGGTGACCTCTTCGGGGAAACAGAGGGTTTTGTCTGTGCAACACAGGATCAGGTTATTAAGACCAACAACTATCGGAGATACATCCTAAAGGATGGCACTGTCGACGTCTGTCGAGCTTGTCGCCATCCCGGGGAGTTACTTAGACATGTCATCTCCGGTTGTTCGGCGCTTTCTAACTCTGAGTACTTGCACAGGCACAACCTAGTAGCCAGAATTCTACACCAGGAGCTCGCTCTGAAATACGGTCTCGTGGATCGAAAATTGACGTATTACAAGTACTTGCCGGGAGGCGTTCTCGAAAATGACCGCGCCAGGCTCTACTGGGACCGGGCCATCATCACAGACAGGACTATTCTTGCGAATAAGCCTGATATTGTGCTGATGGACCGGGCACAGTCAAGGATATTTTTGGTCGACATTACCGTTCCGTATGACGAGAACCTCGTGAAAGCCGAAACAGATAAACGAACAAAATATCTGGACCTGGCTCACGAGGTGACCGAAATGTGGGGTGGTATGCCGGCCGAAATTATTCCTGTAGTCGTCTCTGCGAATGGGCTAATCCCAGTCAGCTTCTCGGGTCATCTGAGGCGACTGGGACTCCGTGACAGACCGCTCCGGGCTCAAATGCAGAAGGCGGTGGTCCTCGATACCGCCCGCATCGTCCGCCGGTTTCTTTCCCTTTCCCCCTAACCCTCGGTCGTTTGGTCTCCCCTGCCGAGGGCTTCCCTCTGGTTGGGTCTTATTTATTTATGTATTTTTATACTTATATTATTTTATTGGTATTTATGTATATCTATCTTTTCATTTTAATTTATAAGTTTATATTTATAGAACCCAACCAGATGAGAAAACTATATAGATACCCCAATAATAATAATAACATTTATTGTTTCTCACAAAACTTATACAAACAAATCATATTGAAGCTCTGTAGCCCGTGGTAGTTGAAAACTGTGTTACAGGCTACAGCATCTTCCCTGTTTCGGTGACACATGGTATGGTTGTATTGTGACAAACTATTATAGCAAACAAAATATAGTTTGCTGTTATTATTTTAACAGTAAGGTGACTACCATTTTAATAAATAATGATATTTAATTCTGATATTTAATTTTATAAAAGTTAAATATCAGACGTTTTTCTGCCTTTTATTTTTTAATCTGTGAATGTAAGTTATCATAGACTACATCGCACGCGTGTATAGATGCAATACACATTTTGGATACATACTAGATATCGCAGTATTTACCCTAAAACAAAATGTGTATTATATAAATATTACACATTCTAATGAATAAAAGTACAACAATATCAAATCGTATGTTGACTGGAGGGACACAATCCATTTTAACACACTCATTTCTATACATACAAAATCTTTGCAAAGAGTAGGCTTGACGTACGTAATTATTAGCGTACTTAAAGCCTGATATTAATAGATAATTTTCGTTTTGCATCGTGCGTCGTACATGACCTTGCCGAGATGTGCAGCAAGATGAACGCGCTTAGACCTAACAACCAATAGTTGTTTGGTCAACAACACAGCCACGTATCATCTGAACGCAACGGATATCATAATCAATTCCTTAAATAGTTTTCTAAATTATAATAAAATTCCATTTCCAGCAGCAAACTATTGTTTCGCGCCTAAGTTGATGTCTGGTACCTGGCACTAGCGCCATATAGTAACGAGGAACAGAGCGAGGAGAGCTTTCTAGAAAATGCCATGACTGAACTTTCCACCAACAGCGCCATCTAGTATCGAATAGAAGAACTAAGCTTTCTAGAAAGCCCCACACTCGAACTTTCTGCACCTGGTCGGTTGGGGCTGTTATTTGCTGGAATATTTTGGATGTTTCGGTGCAAAAAGCCTATATAATGCCGTTGAAAGCCGCAATCGGGACAGTATTGAATTGGGGATACAAGCGAAGCTTTGGAGCGAAATAAAGTGAACTAAAGTGATCAGTTCAATTCTATTAATTATTAATGTGTTTTAAGTTTTAATTGGTGTTCGGCAACTAAAGTGTCACTTTTAGTAATTCAATCGGCAATTTTTATTGTCATTCCAGATCATATAGTCCTCTGCCAGATCTTATTATAGGAGGGAAAAAGAACCGTCATGATGAACCAGAGGAATACTATCAGTTATTAGAAAAAAATGCCTAAATTATATAGAAAATTATTCCATGGTGTTAAATATGAAACCGATTTCGAAGATGATTCTTAAACTAAAGTCACTGAGCTTAATCATATTGAGGTTGACTCTGAGAATTATATTTCTAAAGATGAACATTTGTCAAGTATGTCTATTGAAGTAAGTACCTCCAAAACAAGTTTAAATAATATTAGTGTATTGAACAAAGGTGCTATGAGTTCCGATCTTAATGAAAGCGAATCTTCAGACTTGGATTTCGAATTTTTAAAACCATTATTTAAAATAAATCAGTCAGGAAGAAACGATCAAGATGCAACCAGTTCAAATTTCACTGTGGTGGTCACTGATGATTCAGGTGAAATCGAAACTATGCGAAGAGATAAATGTGATTTAAAATCACTAGGCTTCACTCCACAAGATATGATGTTAAGTAAAGAAAGCCTTAATCTCGTTATTGGAATGGATAAAGAAATGTTATTTATGGAAAATATTAACCAATCCGATGTATCAATGGCAGTACCGGTAAGAGATACTGAAACAGCGTCAAAGTCTAACGAGAAACAAAAAATGACAATAAATTTTTACAACACTTAGAAAATTCTGAAACATCAAATAGCACTCCTTTAAAACGCGTCAGTTCTCACCAGCTGGTCGGACATTGCCAAAGATCCTCAAAGTAAAATGAAAAGATATCTTTGTAACAAAACGAGTTCAGACCAGTCCTTTGCCTAATGCAGAAGTCGTTTGGGAAGATTTAGGAACAAATTTTTTTCGAGACATGTTATTAGTATTTAATCTTTGTAATTGCGAAAATCATGTCTGATTAAAGAAGAAGAGCGAGAACCATATTGGATAATTTTTATTTATTTATATAATTTGTCCTAATCTGATTTGCTGCTATAATAATAATAATAACTGTTTTATTTCAGACATAGATCCATATAAGTTGTTAGTAATACGTAGCTCATCTTAAATACTAATGTTAGTTCTTTAAATATGTGTAATCACTTTTAAGCAAATCGTTCTAATGATCTAGCATATGCCCGTCACATCTTTCGGCTAACACGTTCATATTACTGTTGCGGCTGCCACGCATTCTGCTCAACAGCGAGTACACTCTTTTACGCATTATTGCAAAGAAGTCATCTGTTCGTGTTTCTGCAAACATCCCTGATGCGCTACAAAAGCGAAGCAGCCCCAACAAGGCCTTGAAAATGTTATTATTTAAAACACGAAGGTCACTGTTAGCGCGTTTTTGTATACGTTGTACATAAGCTGCATGCGTAAAAAGATTGACAATAGGCCTTACTTCTTTACTGCACCGCGCAAACCTACGAATCAACATATTTCCACGGACTGACAGTGCCCTTCACTCCCTCTCGATGTCCATATCATGTTTACAGTTTTCGGTAATGTAGTGGCCAAAATATTTAAACTCCTTTACTCTACCTAGGGCAGTACCATTAAGCAAAATAGGAGGCACATTCTTTGGACACTTTTTTCCAGCTCTAAACACCATAAGCAGGCATTTATTAGCATTGTATACTAAACCATGTCTAACAGCATAATCCTCACAAACGCGTAACAATTTTCTAAGAGCAGTAACAGACGGGGCGAGCAGCACCATATCATCGGCGTAACTTTAATTGTTTAAACATACTCCATCTACATAGCATCCGATATACATGCTGCTCAACTCACCGATTAGGTCATTAATGTACAGGCTGAACAGGTTCGGTGAGCTTAAACCCCCTTGTCTCACCCTATATTCTAGCCTGTACGGATCGGAAAACATATCTGCCCATTTGACATTATTTACTTGATTGTTGTACCAATACTCGAACATTGCAACAAGTTCAGCAGGTATCTCGGTTTTCCTCAACTTACTCCACAATATTTCATAGCACACCATATCGAAGGCTTTTGACAAGTCTAGAAAACAGGCATACACAGGTGTTTTTCTGTCCGTGTAGTACTCAACGGTTCGCTTAAGGGCCAAGATGGCACTCTCTGTTGAAAGCCCAGTCCGGAAACCAAATTGAGCATCGTGTACCTGCAAATATTTTCTTAAATACTCATCAAGTAGACCGTCCAGTACATTTTCTAATTATGTAGCCAACGATATAGGTCTATAGTTGGTTATGTCCGAGATGTCCCCAGTTTTATTTTTTGGAATTGGCACAACAATAGTTCTCATTATATTATTAGGTAGATATCTATGTCGTAGGCACAGTGAAAAGAACAAACCCAAAACATTAGGAAGATGGCCACCAGCATGTTCCAAATGCTCAATGCTAAGATCTCATACCCATGAGACCTCCCCGTTTTCATGTTCATGATCACTGCACCCACCTGTTTAGCTGTGAAGCGAACCGGTTTTGTGTCAGAGGGAACTTCCGTGTAGGTTTTACCATTTATGGGTCCTAAAGGACAGTCAACATTAAAATATTGCCTAAAATTTTCAACAATCTCTTTTTTATCATTAGTGTTACCTATGCTCACAGGAAGACCAGGTTGATATGAATTAGGGCTACGATGCAACTTTATAGGTTATATTAAGAATTTTTTATGTTTATATTATTAAATAGATTATATATATTTTTTATAAAACCCTTTGTTACATAATATATATCATGAATAGACATCCTTAGGGGGCGTTCAAGTATTATGTAAGCAGGCTTATCTAACCTGCGGGCCAACATGTTGCAGCGGACTGCCATTGCCCCCTTTCTCATTATACATTTTTACGTGGTAGAGCCATGCTGCAGTTATATTAGTTGTTGTAGCACTAATGGGTCGGCTCGACCGGGGAAGGAGCACGCTCCCACAGAATAACAGCGTGAAATGGTAGCTTGATGCTGCTGTGTTTCGTATGGTGAGTGTAGAGAACCGGAGACCCTTTTTACTGGAAATGGGGCATTCCATCTTAGTCCTCACGGGTGACAACGCATCTGCATTTTGATTCGTAATCGAAGATAAATGTAGATGTCTATGGGCCACAGCAACCACTTACCATCAGGTGCTCGTTTGTCACCCTATCCTATAAAAAAAATTACGAACCCATTAGCCGTTTTATCTGACAACAGCACTTATCAAAAACAATTAGGCGAATTTAGGCTACTTGGCGTCAAAGTTTTGGCGTTTCCGACCGGTCTATACGTGGCAGCACTGTTGTACAAAAACAAATAAAGAAAATATTTCAAAGGGATATTTGGTTACATGTTCACAGTTTCTAGAGAAACCCAGACATTTTTACGATATATTTGAAATTATATCATGATAGTGTGAATATTCAAATTATCCGACTACATTTTTGTTTATAGCTGATGAAAATTCTATTAACGTTTATTGATATAAATATTTACTATATATTAATAATAAATTGATTATTATGTAGACAGAGAAACCTATAAACTAATGGTTAGCGTGGCTTCGAGTGAGAAAGGACGATAACGTAGTTTTAGGTTATACAATAATCTTTATGACTTTTAAACATATTTAGATAAAAAATTTAATAGCTCTAAGAACTGAACTAAACAAGATTTACCAATCTTAAGCTTAAGAACACTTTTTTCTCACTTAAACCAACTTGTAAATTCCTTAGATCGCTACGAACTTTCAAAGTTGTTTAGCAAAGTGTAGTTTGCTAAACAAAAAAACCGGCACGGACAAAGGGACAAACAATCACACCGCTCTGTCTCATTTCTATGCCAGACGTATGCATAAATCTATTTTTTCATGTGCGAATGCGAAAGAAGGCGTCAATTTGTCTATAGGACTAATTTAATTTATCATAGACACAAAAATTAGAAATACCTTCTACAACTATTCAGTATGTTAGCCGACAGATCCTACAGACAGACAAAAATTTAAAAAAATTGATTTATGTCCTATTATTATGCAAATAAAGCTAAAAGAAGCCAGTTAGTTTAATTGGTCTGAATTCCTTTGTTACATATATTTTCATTTTACTTGGAGGATCTTCGGCAATGTCTGACCAGCTATGAGAACTGACGCGTTTTAAAGGATACCTATTTGATGTTTCGGAATTGTCTAAGTATTATAAGGAAGTATTAATTGTCATTTCTTGTTTCTCGTTACACTCTGACGTTATTCCGGTATCTCTTACCGGTACTGCTAATGATTCATCGTATTGGGTAATATTTTCCATAAATAACATTTCTTTATCCATTTCAATAACTGGAGTAAGGCTTTCTTTACTGGACATCATATCTTCTGGAGTGGAGTCTAGTGATTTTGAATCACATTTATCTCTTCGCATAGTTTCGATTTCACCTGAATCATCAGTTACAACCACAGCAAAATTTGAACTGGTTGAATCCTGATTTTCTTCCTGATTTATTTTAAATAATGGTTTTGAAAATTAGAAATCTAAGTCTGAAGTTTCGCTTCCATTGAGATCGGAGCTCATAGCACCTTTGTTTAATACACTAATATTATTTGAACTTATTTTGGAGGTACTTACTTCAGTAGACTTATTTGACAAATGTTCATCTTTAGAAATATTATTCTCAGAGTCAGCCTCATTATCATTAAGCTTAGTGATTTTAGTATAAGAATCATCTTCGAAATCGGTTTCATATTCAACACCATTTCTAATAACTGATAGTATTCCTCTGGTTTATCATGACGGTTCTTTTCCCCTCCTATAATAAGATCTGGCAGAGTACTTGAAAAGGAACTCAGGTTGGACGTCCTTCTTGATCCTGAAAAGGACCAATTGAAAAGGACCTAGCGGATCGGGTACTAAGAAACAGGAATCGAGGCTTCTCTCGATCCGGCCTCCTATCACGCCTACGTTGGGTTCGGGAACAACGTATGTGATCTCCGCAACGGAGTAACACACTAGGGCGATAACCTCTTCCTTTTCAGCAAGTAGGTTCAGACGGGGATTACGGGTCTTCCGAAGTCGTCCCGGTCCCGACGCCTTAATTCTTCGATGTGGACTGTATAACTTAAAGGATCTTGGGAATGAAACAGCAATTATCTTCAAACCGTTCCGTGAGAGAGTAATCACTTTTCCCTATACTGCTGGTTTTTCACTTTTCTTGAACTTTTTCCCGGATTTTCTTATTTATTTCCGAACTATTTCCGAACTTCCCCGAACGATTCCCGAACGAATTGCAATAAAACCCGTTCACTAAGCTACCCCAGAGCTATACGCGAAAGTGAGCCGCGCCATCTGCGCGCTTGCGCAACTTAATTACATGAATTTGTACTATTACTCTCTCACGTTTCACTCAATATCTTTATTTATTCAAATCATATACAAATACAATTTATCAATATAGGTAGTACAAAACAATATCTACACCATGATATACATCATATCCTCATATCATAAAAAACCTTTTATTTATTAAACGAAAACTGCCTATTTTACTCACAAGTTCGAAATCGAAATTTCTTAAATATTTAACACAGAAAGTTAAAACAATGTTTCTCACTTGAATTTATACATAAGCTAACCAATACAATAGTTTAATTTACATTTTTTCTATTTATTTCACTATTTAAAACACTTTTAAATTTCTTATACAAAACTATCATTATTTCACTTATACACAGGAATTTTCACATAAAAATAACACAGAATTTACCTTTTTTAGCACGTACAATTAACCTGAAATATTTTACAAGTAATTTTTACATAAATCACTGAATTACAAACATTTTAAATTTTTACATATTCGGCCTCCTAAGGGCGTGGCCAGCGTGCTTCCGTGTACTCACGCTATGTGAACAACTAACTTTGCACGGCTCTCGGCTATCAGAAAAAATTAAATTATGAAATACACCAATTTTGACCATATTAGGCAAATTAAATGCTTTTATACAATTTTCGAACTGTATGAAACTATCTTTAATCAGATAATAATATAAATGAATGTTCTCATTAATCAATCATAACAAATAGGCATTTGTTTTCGTACAAAACGTATCAAACTTATACAAAACAACATTTATGCAATTAATATCCATTAATTCTGCCTATGCACAGAGTGATTATCTCGACCGGGAAACAAATCCGATCTTTAACTACACTTTAATACTCTTATGAATTTACATCATTTGAAAGATGATTTCAACCGGGGAACAAATCCGGTAACATAATTTATATCTTAAATTCCTTACGAATTTATTAAGCGATATTACTTAGGAAAACAAACAAACTAGTCCGGCCTGGGAGTCGAACCCAAGACCTTCATATCATTAATTCGACATTTCTTAAAGATTTAACTAAGCATTCTCTTATCAGAGCGTCGTTGCTCGTGACTACCCCTTTTTTCATAGCAACGTCATCGGTTGATTTAATAAACTGAAACATTTTTATAGGCGCGTCGCCAACAATCTCCCCCCCGTGCGTTAGCACCATCATTTGGGAGGCGTCGCGGGTACCAGGACTATTATTCTGGATGTAGGTCTCCTCAAGATACCTGTGCTAGTAATGACGTCAACCACTCTGGTGTGACCGTCTGGTCCCGGTAACGTTCTACTAATTTTACCTTTTGGCCACGTATTTCGTGGCAACGAATGATCTATTATCAAAACAATATCGCCTTCTTTAGGTTCCATGAACTTGCCGTTATCACCTGTTCGAGGTATTAACGTAGGCATGTATTCCTTCAGCCATCTTGTCCAAAAATGGTCGGCTAACCTCTGTGCAGCTTTCCAATTGAGTTGACCCGTCAGATGTCGCTCTAAAAATAATCCAGGTGGTCGATCACCACATGAGCGTCCCAGAAGAAAATGATTGGGTGTCAAACCCTCTTCAGGACTATCCATACTGAATGTTACCAGAGGTCTGGAATTTACCGTATGCTCTGCTTCTAAAAGTAACGTATGTAGAACCTCCTCTCGTGGGCTCTTCTCTTTAAGCGTAGCGGTCAACGCAATTTTAATCGATCTTACTAACCTCTCCCAGGCGCCACCCATGTGCGGTGCTCCCGGAGGTATAAATTTCCATTTAATATATTTCTTAAATGACTCGTTTGTCATGCCCTCATAGCATTCTTCGCATGCTTTCAATAATTCTTTATTTGCAGCTTTGAAATTTGTCCCGTTATCGCTGTATATAACGGCTGGTTTTCCTCTTCTGGCGATAAATCGCCTTAACGCCATTATCATTGACGCTGGTGTCAATGAGGCTGCTAATTCCAGATGTACTGCTCTGGTGGTCAGACACGTGAATAAAACGCCCCAACGTTTTTCGTGTCGCCTTCCTATAGTCACACTCATAGGACCAAAATAATCTACAGCTGAGCATGTAAAAGGTGGCTCATGATGAGCTATTCTTTCCAGAGGAATATTTCCTTGTGGCACGTTTTGCGGCTTTGACCTGTATGTCCTGCACCACTGACAATGGTGTGACACACTTCGTACTACATTACGCAAGTTCAAGACGTAAAATTTCTGGTTCACCTCATTCATCACCGTCTGGTGATTGGCGTGTCCAAAATGATGATGAACTTCTCTAATCATCATTTTAACGATTTCGTGTTTACCGTCTAATATGACAGGTTTTCTACTTTCCTCGGTCAAATTAGACTTGAAAGGTAAACGTCCATTTAAACGGAGTAAGTTATCCTCTCCTATTTCCATAGATAATTTACTTAAGCGTGAACTTCTTTCAACGCTTTTGCCTGCTTTCAAACATTTTATTTCCGAATGAAAACACTCGTCTTGAATGAATTTCCAAATTAATATTTCCGCCTTTTTCAAGAGCGCTGTGTCCAACGCGCTATCGGGTCCTTTAACCGACTTTGCTAAAACTTTGTTGGAACACATAACCGACTTTTCGGTTGCGTCGTCGGGTCCTTTAACCGACTTTCTTAAACTCTTGAATTTTTCTACCGCTTGTAAGGTGCGTGTAGTTGCTCCAAGGAATTTCTTAAAGCTGCTAAATCGTCCGTAGTCGGGTAGACTTAACGGTTCTTGCTTTCTTAACGTATTTACGCCCTTTGGCGATTTTTTCTTCACCTGTTTCTAAGCTATTTATGGTGTCCACTTGTTTGGGCCATAAATCAGGACTTTTCCTGAGGAATTCAGGTCCTTGAAACCAGCGATGACTTACATCGAAGGTGGAAGGAAAATTTCTAGTGGCGTCGTCTGCCACGTTTTGTGACGTTGGAACCCATCGCCATTCACATGGCTTACTGTGATCTTCGATCTCAGCCAATCGATGAGCAACGAATGGTTTAAAAGCGCGAGGATCCGACTTAATCCACGCTAACACTGTACGTGAGTCTGTCCAAAACACTCTCTCGGACATCTCGTACTTGCTCTCTTCACTAACCGAAGCAGCCAGTCTGCTGCCCATAAGAGCTGCTTGCAATTCAAGCCTTGGAATCGAAATTGGTTTCAATGGCGCTACTCTTGCCTTTGCGGCGATCAGCGTAATCCGCCTTATTCCTTGCTCGTCCGTGGTGACGTAATACACCGCGGCAGCGTATGCTTTTTCACTAGCATCCGTGAAAGTATGTAACTCTCCTTTGCCGATGCCTTCAGCAACGGGTCTAGGTACTTCTAAGTGACCTAATTTCTTCACTTCCGATATCCATTTACAAAATAACACGTGTAACTCGTGTGAAACTTCTTCATCCCAAGAGATGCCTGTCCTCCATACTTGCTGGATCAGCGACTTCCCTTGAATCGTTATGGGTGATGCGAGTCCCAAAGGATCGAAGACTGACATCACAGCGCTAGTTATCTCCCTCTTCGTAGGCGGTCGTAAACCCTCCATCACCTCTTCCGGTGTGCTACGAAGACTTGTGGAAAAAACTTATTATATCCCGTTTGATATTCCAAATCAAACCTAACGTGCGCTCTGTGTGCTCTTTATCTCCAAGCGAAGCACTGTCGCTCTTATATTTATTTTCCATATTACTTAAAACTTCGGGTCGGTTGCTAGCCCATCCCCTCAGTTGGAAAGAAGCATGCTTATGTAATTCATACATATCGTTTACTATCCTTTCGGCCGTCGTCACGTCGGGAAATGCCTGTAGCTAATCATCCATATAAAAATTGCTTTCCGTAGCGGAAGCTGCTTCTGGATAGATATGTGCGTTGTCCTGCGCATTTCTATTCTTTACATATATAGCGATGCATGGTGATGATGCCGCTCCAAATATGAGTGACGTCATTCTATACTCTTCCGGTGGCGCGTCACGATTGTGCCGCCATAAGAATCGAAGGCTATCCCTGTCTTCTTCCCGGATTTTCACTTGCAGGAACATTTCCTTAATGTCTGCCATTACTGCC